AAATGTGAAAGCTATAGACTCTAGTGGCCTCAAATAGGCACAAACATAAGCTAGCTCTTGTCTGCACTTTAGTAGGTCTTTTGAAGGAAGATCTGGTGACGCCAGCCTTGCCAGTGTTGGTGGTATTGACCTATTATGAGAGTCCATCTCCATGTTGTAGATGAATCACGCGTTTTTGAAAAGTGCTAACCCTTTTTCGAACGCTTTAGCTGATCTTGGTGTAGATATTGTGGCCTGGTTAAGCACCTCATTCGGTGACTTTTTTTTAAGATTTACCATTTTGAAGCTTGCTTGAATGCTATTGTAATTTTCATGTCATATCCTTATTTGCTTCAATTAAGGTGAGTAAAATCCTCGTGTGAGTCATCATGACCTCTAGCCCTCACTTTTTGACTGACCCCATCAACCGATCTAAATTGATGCCACCTGGCCCCTGGATTGGAGCTCCCACACGTAAAACACTTGAGAACTGCTTTAATGTCAACTCGCTAACTTAAAAGGTCCGTTATCTCTCAAAGCAGCTGGAGGCCATTTGTCAAACATTCTTGCAGACTGCGATAATGGGATCGCGACCTACGGCAGACGACATTTCCACCCCCTTCATCGGGGGTAGTCATTGTTTCTCGTGCTTGCAGCAGAAACACTTCTGTCTCAATGGCGTTTGTCACACAAAGGTTGAAGTCATGTGATTGGCCCTCGTGGTGGGAATTTACTCTGCTGCTACCAGTGTGGGTGCAGATACTCCCTTGACAAGGAAAGATGACAAGATCGGAGCTTCCATCGTGCAATCTGGAGGTCAGACCACTCAGCGGCCCTTCTTTCAAAACCAAGAGTTAGACTTGCAATCCATTGATGTCCAGAGGAATGAATGTGCATCATGCCTTCCTAACTGCAAACTGTAGAGATAGTAGTAGTGGACGCAACTAAAATGATATGGAGAATTGCCAACTCCTTGTATGATTTCTTCCGCCAAAAAGGGAAAGATATGAGGAATTTCAGTCTAGTTAATGGCAAGAGCGAACAGGTTTGCAAGCACCATGTTCTTGGACAGTTGATAACAGGCAGCGGGAGGTTGTTCCCTGTTCCGAAGGCAAGTTATGCATACTTATTGTTTTCGGCTTTGTTTTGACATCAAAAGAAAGTAGTGAAAAAAAAAAGTATTCGCTCCTGTCATGTATTCTCATTTTAGGCACCAGAGGGAACAAGTTGAGGCCTTGTCTAAAAAGTAGCACTGCGATGAACTTTTGGACTACAAAACACCTTCTTTGGTCAGTCTCCGCGGCGAATGCAACCGCATTTCCCTTGTTAATTTTGGTAGGCAATTTCATTGCGCCCGAAACGTTTGAGTTGGAAATCTATTTCATGTATGCAATCCACGAGTTGTTAAACCGTTAGTGTATAAATAATTATACAGGTCACAGCTTTTGGTACACAATGGAATTGGAACCTTTTCCATTCTTCAAAAACTCGCTGTCCTTCCTAGGCAAGTTGTTCCGCGGCTCTCTCTCCCTCCCTTCTGCCATGTTGTGCTGATGATTCCAAAACCATTTCTGAACTTTAAATGCTAAAGAGAATGTATCGGAGGCCAGGTAGCCTAGTGAGAATAAATTAGCAAATCATCAACATCTAATGGTTTTGTCGGTAAACAATTTGATTACATTGTATGATGCTAGTATGGTAGGCTGTAATGGCGACGCGCAGGCGTGCCAAACACAACTGAGTCGAGTCTCTACCTCTCTCTCTCTCTCTCTCTCTCTCTCCGTTCTCAAACGTCAACCGCTGTGCTGAGCGTTTCGCTCACTTGAGGCACGTGCTCGCTTGTAAGATGTGAAGGCGCGGTATCATTAACATCGATGCTGGTGAGTCATGAACGCATTAGGCACGGCGACAAAAGTAGCGTTGACACTGTACGAAATCAATTATTCTGCTATCCACTGCCTAGCACTAGATGGTCTGTGTCGA